AAGCTGGCAGAAAATATATAAAATTGATGTTATTTAATTGTATTTTGTTTTTGTGCTTATATCTATTTTGAATTCATTTAGAGGTTTAACAGGGAAAGGCCCATACCACTAGAAAACCCTAAATGCTGCATATAGCCAATACAATGGATATTTTAATTTCTTTTTCTTCTCTCAATGCAAAGTGCTGTCATCATTTGCATTCTGGTGATAAATTAAAATAACTATGTTGACTTTTTGGGGCCATGTAAGCATATGTTTACATTTCCTATTGACTTTGATAGCACAATGCACTATAAGTAAGTAATCTGTATCTGGAATGAAAAAATAAAAACTGGTTCCCATGAGCATGATAATCATCTGTCCTAGACAACTGACCATGGTAAATAGTTTACTGTAAAGACACTGCCTTTGCTATTACAGTCCAAGCACCATGACCACTTCAATGTTTTAAAGTGGTTATGTTGCAATGACCCTGCACCTAAAGAGATATTTAATGTTATTTAATGACTGCACCTAAAGAGATATTTAATGTTGCTGCCGGTGGTGTAACTTCACTTAGTCTCTCAGCCAATGAATGACTGTTAGGATCAGCATCAAGCTACTGCAACTTTTGCAGAAGTCAGATTGGACCATGCAGGCATGTAAGGAGGCTCAGTGCCCGGCTGGACCTATGCAATGGCTTTCTGCTTGGCACCAAGTTTCTTCTAAACTACTAATCAGTAGGCTGTAGTGGTTATTATGCTTGGAGTACCCCTTTAAGTATAGACTATTCAGCTAATGCCATGCACATAATTTGGGTCCATGTCAAGGTTAAGATCCACTGATGCAGAGATTCAATTTAAATATTTATCCGAAGTGGATGTTTAGCACACATTTTGTAAATGTCAGGTCCTATTTTTAATCACAAACATCTTGTGGAACACCAAATAGACCTGTCTACAGACTCATCCTTCCTAAGCGGTGATATATTTATGAGCAAATCTTACCTGTTACTGCCAGATTTTGGAAATGCTGTTCTTAGCTAAATGGAAATGGAAGCCGTTCTAGTCTAGCAATTCATCTAATAGGTTGGAAACTGTTCCCTAACGTTAAGGGCATTTAAAGACTTTACACTTTAATTATTTTCTGTACATTATGCATGTATTTTCTTTAATTTTGTTCAAAATAAATTCGCTGGTGGAAAAGAAAGCATATGCCGGAACATTAGTCACAGCAATATTTTAATGCGTCTTTCAGACATTTACTTCTGTTTTGAAATAACAACTGAATTTGTCAAAGATGGTCCCTGTGATCAGAGCTTCCTTAGAATTCTAGAAGTGTAGATTACATTGACACCTAGAGGCAGTTTCTTTCTATGCAAATAAAACATTCTATCCTTTAGCCTGAAGACTTTTCTGTTCTGAGCGACATGTTTTGAATCTGAGCCGGAGAAAATACATATTGAATGCAAATGAAAATAGAATAAAAAATAATACTGTCTTAAGCAAGTTCGCAAATTCACTTACGGCTGTTTTATTTAATTTTATTCAGTGCCTTTATAATGAGTGTTTGCTCTAATGAAAGAAAGTCTAATTATATGAAAAGCAAGTTCTTGTGCCACTGAATTACAAACATTATTGCATGCACATCTTATTAAATATGCTCTCAATCTTACCAATGCCATCTTTGCAGTGTGAAGTAAATGTCTGATTGATCAGATATATACACTTGTTGTGCAGTGCACTTCTTATACTTTGTATACTTCTTGCCAGAATGCACCTTATTGTGATGCTTCTAAAAGTTAATATAACATTTATGCAAATCAGTAAAAAAACTAAACTATATCACAAAGATACAGATAGAGATGTAAGATACAGATGTAAGCTTAGCTGTACCGCAGAGACACAGGTTAGTAACCAGCTGAGCTATATCATTAGATATTCAGGGTCAATAAAAACTACAGCTATCACAGATATACTGGGTTAGTAAATAGCTGAGCTGTATCACAGATATACAGGGTTAGTAAAGAGCTATATCACAGATATAAAGGGTTAATAAAAAACTGACCTACATCACAGGCTTAGTACAGAGCTGAGCTATGTCACAGATACAGTGGCGAAACTACAGCCGGTGCAGCTTGTACAAACGCTGCATACCGAGGGGGCCCTTAGGGCCACCAGATGGTAATGTGTAATTAGGGACCCGACCAGCGCTGCGGCCCTTTAACAGCGCGATCAGGCCCCTTTCATGATGACAGTGCTGGGAGGTCACTTCCTCCCAGCTAGCACTGAGCTGCACAGGAGGAGCAGGCACAGAGCAAGGGAGAGCAGATGTGTGTCTATGTATCTGTTTGTCTGCACGTGTATCTATGTGTCTGTATCTGAATGTGTCAGTGTGTGCCCCTGTGTATCTTTGTGTGTGTGTCAGTGTTTTTGTCAATATGACTGTCATTCTGTGTATCTGAATGTGTCATTCTGTGTGTTCATGTTTGTATCTGCATGAGTGTCATTGTGTGTTTCTGTGTGCCTGTGTATCTGCATGTGTGTCAGGGGGCATGGGGAATCTAAATTAGGTGGGAATATGTAACAAGTGACATAGTTCTGAGTAGACAACTTAAATAAATACACACACAACTGCAAACTGCAATGTTTCCTTCATTAAATAGTGTCCATTTTTATTGCATTACATCTTGACCAAGCAAAGTTTCAACCCAGTCCAGTGTCTTTCTCAAGTTTGCACACACAGCATATAATCGTATCCACATTCATTCACAATGGCTCTACACAAAGTAGAGATTTTGCACAAATCATATATGTATATATTGTGTATTCAAAAAGTCACTTCTGGCATTAACATTTTGATAACCATATGTTAGGGTGTCTACAAAGTTCAGAAGCCTATGACCAGTCGTGGGTGGTCATCTAAAGAGCTATATCACTGATATACCAGATGTGTGCGTGACATTTTAACTGAATGATCACTTGGTTTGTTGGGCTTATTTTAACACCTGCAGTTCCAAATACAACCACATGATGAGCTCTGGATGTCGCTCAGCTACATAAGAGGACACAGTCTATGATCCTTTAAATAAGCCCCTGCTAAAGGTATACTGTTGCAGTGTAGTGAGTGCAATGTGTGGGTGTTAGAGGGGTGCAGGGTATGTGAGGGGGTGCAGGGTACGTGCGAGGGGGTGCAGTGTGTGTGTGTGTGTGTGTGAGGGATGCAGTGTGTGTGTGTTTGTGTGAGGGATGCAGTGTGTATGTGATGGGATGCAGGGTGTGTGTGAGAGGAGGTATAGTGCTTGTGTGAGAGGGATGCAGTGTGTGAGGGGTGCAGAGTGTGTATGTGAGAGGGTGCAGCGTGTGTGTGTGTGTGTGTGTGTGTGTGTGTGTGTGTGTGTGTGTGTGAATGTGTTGGGACTGACACAGGTCTGTGTTGTGTGGGAGGGAGATGAAGGAAATATAAATACTCATTTAAATTATTTCAGTAAATAAATATATGTTTTAAATAAAAATAAATTAACTTTATATCTCCCCTCCCTTCTTACCTTTGCCCTGGGAGGGGGGATATTCTAAACCCTGGTGGTCTGGTGGTGAGTAACTCAGGCCTGCAGCTACTCCAGTTCAGTGCTCTCGCGAGTTCTGGTCTTTGCGTTGCCACAGTAACCGTGGCAACTCTCTGACTCAGCGAGAGGAACTTTCAGGACCCGGTGGAGCTGCTGGCTAGAGCTCCCGGGTCCTGCCTTCTCCCTCATCGTCTCTGGATTTATATACCTGTGGGCCAGTGAGGAAGATCTTTTATCTCCCCACCAGTCCTCAAAGCACCCAGCATAGCCGTCACTGCTCTGTATGGGCCGGCTGTGGAGATCCTGTGATCTCCCCCGTCGGTCTCAGCCCAAAGCCATCTCGGACCACTAGGCATTTGTCTGGTTTGCCCAATAGTCAGTCCAGGCCTGGTCTGCATAGTATGCCCTTAGTTGGCCAGCCTGCATGATTTGCAGGCAGTCGGACATGCATTCACGCCAGACTGGCCTTCCAATTCTTTGGGCAGTCATGCCCCCTTTTTGGGTATGTTTGCCCATTGGGTGGTTCTGGTTATGCATCGGTGGCCCACGCTTTACTACACTCACCGACATCCTGCTTCACCGGACACTGCTGTTAGGGGGTATGGATTTACTTGAAAGATGAAATTGAAAGATTAGCATAGGGTATGTGTTTTCTTATAGCTGCATCCTGTGAGCTTCCCTACAGCACCACCTCTGTGCATGGGCGTCCACAGGGATTTTTCTGGGGGGGTATAATTGTAATGACATCAATGCTTGGCCCCTTTTTGACAGTGTCATTAAGGGTAGGGGCATAGTGATTAGCATATAAAGCCAAGGTGAATAGCATTTTAACAACTATGGTTTCAGGAATACATGTTTGTATTCCTGACACTATAGTGTCCCTTTAATCAAATTAAAGGAACATTCTGGTCATCCTAACAACTTCATCTAAATGAAAATGCTATGATGCCAGGAGGCCCCTGGGTGCTCTCTTTCCTTTAAGGGGTTAAAACACTCTCAAATGGTTTAACCCCAAAGACTTCCTCCAGTTCCAGGCTTCCCTTCCTGCTCCTTGCTGCCCCTTTCTGCTCCTTTCCTGTAGGCTGCCCCCGCCCCATTCCTTACTTACCTGATATGTAGGCTGCACCCCCATCCCTCACTTACCTGATCTGTAGGCTGCCCCCCATGCCTCGCTTACCTGATCTGTAGGCTGTCTTTGCAGGCTGGGAGTTGCTGGCTGCACTCTGTGCTGCTGGCCGGCGGATTCAGCCAGGAGAGAGAAGCAGGGATAAGATGTAGCTTCCTATCCCTGTCCCTCTCCACACACAGCGCTGGTATTGCAGTGTATTCTAAATCTTAAAAGAAAAATACTGGCACAAGCTGGGGAGGGGGGTCAGATAAATGACACTAGGGAGGTATGACTGTTATGGTGTTTTCTGTCGATAAAATTATGTAATTAGGCCCATCATAATTGTCAGCACCAGGCCTAATGGACTCTTAATCTAGCCCTGAATATCTGCCTTACTGGAGGTATGGCAGGGAAGTCAGGGACCCTTGTTCAGTATTAAACTGTTCAAAAATGGTTCAACAGTAAATGGAGGGGTAGTGCCAAGGTACTTCAGGCACTATAACCATTTCAGTGTGATTAAATGGTTATAGTGCCTAGAGTGTCCTTTGACATTGACTCAAACTATGCAAGAATAGTCTATGCAAAGCAATTTTTTTTTAATTCAGGACATCAGTCAGATTTGCCCCCTATTAGAATCTTTCTGGCCTGGCTTCGATCATCAGTATTTTAGCTGCCAAGTTTCTAAAGTCTCTAGTTGGAGCATTTGCCTCTTGGCAGCCCTATACATCTTTAAAAAAACACTTTTCAGTGTACAAGAAAAAACGCTTTAATATATTAAATTCATAGCCCAATTTGATTGACATATTTT